TATCGATGGTTACAGTTTCAACAAAATATATTAATAAATAAGAAAGTTGACATTGCGCGGACCCAGTTTATTCGTCAAGATTTTCCTTGGCTCAGGTGCCAGAGTTATGCGCTACCGAATGCAAAAAGAACGAACGAAATATCTTGAAAACTGTGGGAGTAGTTAAGGCCTCGGACAGACGGACGGACAGAGAAAGTGACTGCAATAGCCCACACCCAACTTCGTTAGAAAATGCGCTAAAAAGGAGCTATTAAAAACCTTTCAGGATATACACTCATTTCCTTTCGAAGGAATATATCATTTCTGTTTATAGTTAAGAGATCAGGTATGTATTAGGGTTTAGGACATGACTTGTTTCATCATAACAACAATATAGGGTTTAGAGCTCAGGTGTCTGCATTAGGGCATAGCGTGTCTCATGTAATACAGGGGTATAATATTAGAGTAAGGTTTGGAGACCCACCACATAATAGTATTCCAATGTTCAAATAATCCAGAGTCATGAATATAATTGCATTTGGCACTTCTGCAAAATTAGATAGTGGCAAACTACCATTGTCCTGTATAGTCAAAATAAACTTCAAAGAAGGGTAATATGATAATAAATTATTAGCATAATTTGTACTCGAGCATAGAAGAGGAGGAAAGTATCTAGTGGAAATACAATATTCAAGAGTTCTAGGATTGAGTTACATAGTCGGTTCATTTACAATATTAACAAGTTAAAAAGTAATCGTAAACGATTTACATAAAGCGCATTTCCACTTGCATTCATTTCCCATTATTGTAAGATGCAACTTCTATTAAAATCGTAAAAATCCGGCCACAAATATGAAAGATAGCGTTGCACATGGGCAATCCATTTTTGACTTCAATTTCAGTTTATGAGAAGAATTTCATTTCAATGCTTTTCTAAATAAGAAAGTTGGAACTGCGCATGCGCAAACCTAAATTTTGAAACTAATGTTAGATTTTCATTTGTTCCAAGCGCCTAAGTATCAAATTTCAGTTAAATGCTTCCATAGATTAAAAAAGTTGGCACTGCGCATGCGCAAAATAAAATTTTGAAACTGGCGCTAGATTTTCCTTTATTCCAAGTGCCTATGTATCACATTTCATTAAAATTCTTCCATAAATAAAAAAGTTGGCACTGCGCATGCGCAAAACCAAATTTTGAAATTGGCGTTTGATTTTCCTTTATCCCAATTGCCTATGTATCAAATTTCGTTTAAATTCTTCCATAAATAAAAAAGTTGGCACTGCGCATGCGCAAAACCAAATTTTGAAATTGGCGTTTGATTTCCCTTTATTCGAAGTGCTTATGTATCAAATTTCGTTTAAATTCTTCCATAAATAAAAAAGTTGGCACTGCGCATGCGCAAAACCAAATTTTGAAATTGGCGTTTAATTTTCCTTTATTTCAAGTGCCTATGTATCAAATTTCATTCAAATACTTTTATAAGTAAAAAAGTTTGCAATTCGGTTTATAAATGGTCGAGATGCGAAAAGGGCACTGTGAATTTTGAATCGATTCGATTCCACTTTTGGCATTGCGTATTATATGGCTAAAGCTATGCCCATATTGAATTTCATGCAATTCAGTTCATAACTAACGGAGATGTAAAAGCGATGGAACATTTCTAAACAAAGTTATCGTTCACACGGACAGATAGATGGACAGACAGACAAAGGAACAGACGGACAGACCAACAGGCAGACGACAGATAGCAATGCAAAATTATAAACGATCTCTAGGATCGTTAATAAACGGCAAAAGTGTAAAATTATGGAACATGTAAAAAAACGGTTTTTTGTTTTTTTACAATAACTTTTTTTGTAAGCGGTACAGAAAAAATTCCTTCCTTGGTACAAGACTCGACACCATAACGAACCAAATAGCGAAAAAAGTAGAACAATAGCTCTTAAGATAAAGAACTAGTAGCGTCGCAAAACGAGCGGACGGACGGACGGACAAAGTGGCCACAATAGCGCATTATTTTTTATTTTTGTGGAAATGCGCTAAAAATAGTATCATAAACAAGGTCTCTAAAATAAACAAAAACAAATTAATCTCGAAGTATCTATAACCCTCAATCAAGACCACTTGAAACTCCTTGCGAGGCATTCTTTCGGTTAGCTAACACGTTCCAACAGGGGTTCACAATGAGTGCGTAATGGTATCAATGTGCAAAGGCCCTGTAAGTTCAGATTTATGATAACAAGCATCTATTAAATCAACAGCAAACAAACAAAATCAATTACCTACATGCTACATATTTAATGTTACAATTTAAAAAAAAAGAATTACCTGGCAAACGTACTTCACCACTGCAACCTTTTTAGTTGTATCGACAAAAAAGTTCAATTAAATAAAAAAATAAATTTAGACAAGAAATATAAAAAAATACTGATCTTACAACTGTAAATTGACAGCTAGGGAACACGTTTACCGAAATTAGTAGAAATTATAAAAACTTTTTTATTATTAAGGTATATAGTGACTCTTTTGAAGATTTTTTTAAATGGTACCATAGCTAGGTGGTGTTTAGTTTCAACATATATTATTCTGTGCTTAGTAATGTGGTATATAAAAACAAAATTAAATAAATTAAATTACAGAGTGTAAGTTAAGTAGAATTACATTTTCAATAAAGCTTGTTTCGTTTGTTTTTTTTTTGTTTGCATCTAATACATCAAAATTTGCTTCTTTCTTTTTTTTCCAGCAACGATAACCTGTAGGCAACAATGGAACCAGCGGGTTTTCGATATGTACACGATAACTAACATTTTTCTGTACCGCTCTTGACTATACTATAAAGGAAAGAAGAACGTCGTCAAAAGGGTTAGCATTTTCTGAAAGGATCGTCTTTCCGTATCGACCACCGAGTGCTCTCGACATCTCCATAGACCGATTCTTTTCGTATCGACCGCCGATTAACTTCCATAGACCGATTCTTTTCGTATCGACCGCCGATTAACTTCGAACGCCTTTTCTATCCCAGCCGGTGACTAGCATCGATCGCCTCATCACCCGAAAGGGGAAGGGACATCTTTCCCATCTTGCATAGACCGCCAATTAAATTCAAAAGTATTTTCTGTATCAGCCGCCTTATCACTCGAAAGGGGAAGGAACATGAATTATGTCAAACATATAGAGAACTACTTACTGTTATTACGGTACAATTACAATAACATTTTTTATCATGGAAAAATTCTCTCTTAAGAAATTGAAGTTGAAATGTTGCTCACACTCTTACCAAATTAAAAGTAATCAGGAAATATAAGTAACATAACCTCACATTTCGACGAAATTGTGCGAACTTTGTATTAATNTAACAAAGCTACGTCGGGCTATCCAGAACAAAACGAAGGCCCAGCTGACAAAGGAAGTTCGTTTGCACGCCCATTCTCACGTGGCCCACATCACAAAGGAGTTCAGCGTTAAATTAGAGTGGGAAATCGCATTGACCATCTTCCGTACAGCCCAGTGACTGCTATTTGTTCCTCAACTTGAAACAACACTTGGGGGAATGAAAATCTCAAGCGACGAAGAGCTGAAGGCAACTGTCGATTCCTAACTGTGCAGATCGGTGGGAAACTGGTACCACACGGATATGACAAGAGTCCAAAAGTGATTAATCGCGATCAATTGGTTGCAATAAAATCATGTTTGCTAGACATGTGAAAAAGCATTGGACGGACAACCCCCACATAATTATCTTCTTGGAAAAAACAAAGTGGAAACGCCATTCCCACGCGCTCCCGCCCCACTACACCACTGCATTGAATAAGCACTTTATATTCAATGCTACTACCACATCACTTGTTAAGATATTTCAGTTTTTTAAAAAATGCGCTTTATTTGTGCGCAATTTACACTTGTTTTTAGTGTAAATTTGGTAGCTGTATCTGTATCTCCACAAGCAGCATCGAGAGCAGCATACTGCATCTGGCGCTCAGCTACCTAGTGGCGAATGGATCAATGGATGTTTCAATCTTTGTTTTTGAAATTCACTTGGTTTAACCGCAATGCAGAATGACATGTTTAATACCGTTATCCTATTGTTTGTAATCGTTTACGTTTTTGGTGTAATGTTTGCTTAATTTATGTTTATTGATGTTGATTGCTTGGTGTTGGTCTTGTCCCTGAAGTTACATTCATATAAGTTTTGATCATTTTATTTTAATATGTGGAAATTACCGATTCGTTTGATGTATGTACTGACTTGTTACTAACAATTTTCTACGTGAATGAAACAGTCACGGGGATGGTAAAAGCTGTAGTCAAAATTGAGCTACGACACCTAATTCCGTGGTTGTCTTCGACTTACAACTGTAGGCTCGAAACCCCGGACAAGGGGCAACGCTACCTATCTTGCGGGGGAGAGTTTATGCTAATCAAAATTCTTCGGTTTGGAATCTATGTGTAATGTATGGGTGGCGATTCAATAATTTCCACATATTTGACGGTTAGTTAAATTTGCCTACAAAGCCATGTAATTTTCCATCTTGCTTTTAACAAAAGGACTTTATTGCACTAAAGATTAGTCACATCCTGTGTATTTCACCCTTTCTTAGAATCTTGGTGCCTGCTTACCTGACCCATAATTCCCAAAACTTATTTTTAACCTATATGTTACCTCTTGAAGTTTACCTGCCACTTTTTGTGATGTTATAATTTTATGTTACGCGTTCATATCATTAGAAACAATTAATTTTACTACACAATTTGAAGTTAATTTGACGGCTGGTTTTTTTTATTGGTAAGTTCTTTTTTTCCCCAGCCTATTTCTATTTTTATTCGGTGAACTACCATTTTCAAACTTTATTTTTGCAATGTAATTTATTTTGGACTTAAATTTCCAATCTTAATCATTGCGATCATTATTAAACAAACTTGTCACAATTTCAGTGTTTTATTTAACGTTCCTTCCCTACTGTGCTTCAGGTCAAAGCGTTGTCTACAACTAACATAAGGGGGCTCTGCCTTAGATGTTTTATCACGTGCAACTTTTCAAATTTAAGCGGGATCTTGTTTAGTTTTAGAGGGAATAGTCATTTGGGTGGTCACTTTTAAACGTTGAGGGGGTTGACTTTTTCCGAGTTCTTGTAGTGTGAAGTTAGCGTAGAACCTGGGGGTTAAGTATACTACAAGCTGGACTGGCTTTTGATCAATTTTGGATAACTAGCCTAGCTTGTAAAAAAACTTCTGAACTAACCTCTCGCATACTGAGCAAGCCAGACTTTTACCAGATACTAGCGTCGGGGTGTACTGGGAGGGTTGTAATATGCGATGTTGCGTTTCAATAGTTTGAATTTTGCCCATGAACGGTCACAAATGGGCTCCGTAGTCTTCCGTCAATAGCAGAAGGACTTTTTCACTTCTTTTACTTTGGGACAACATACGCCTATTACGCATAATGGTTCTGCTTACCGTAACCTCGGTTCCGCCGCGACCTACCTTTAACAGTTTAAACTGATTCGCCTGAGATGTACGCATAACTTTCTCCGCTATGCTATATATAATCTCGTGGTACTTCTCGCGCAGCTCCTTCTCCTGCGTGACGAACTCACGATTGGCGGCGAGCAAACGTTCGGACGTGCTGCGCGGAAGCGTGGGTCGCTCGGGCTCCGCGTTCGCGCTACTCTCCGGTCCGTCTGCAACGCTAGTTAGTGGTTCTGCGCTAGTAGATTCTGTCGAGAAAACTCCGGTTACTCTAAGAAAGAAAGAATGATTTAAGATGGTCGCTCGACCACCTTGGAAACTGAAAATATGAAAATTCGGTTACAGTTTTGTTTTTTACGCACTCCTTCAAGGGTTATAGGCAAACGTTTCATGGAACATTTCCATAATACACAACTCGCAAACGCTCAAAAGTTAATCCACACAAACGGGCTGTTAAACAATCTCAATAAAAAACAAAACTGTTCACACGCCCACTCATACTTACATGTTTTTGCTTGAAAGTCTCTTCACCAATTTTATATTCATTAATTTTGAGATTTTCTCCCCCGTTTCGGACGTGGACTTTTGTGACTGTAAGGTCGCCTTCTTCTTCTCGTGTTTCTTTCTCAACGTCTCCAATTTCTTTTCTAACTCTAATTTCTTTTCCTTAACTAATTTGTTTTCTAAAATTTTGTCTAAAGGTTCGGCTACTATTTCCTCGACGCACAGTATCTCGGGCGGTTTTGTAATCGAATTCTGCTCCACCAACGTGGCAGAGACTGGAGGGGCGTTAGTCACGGGCACGTCGGTCTCCGTGACTAAGTCAATGGACGAACCGACGCCGCTAGTTAAAGTGGGGCGCGGCGAGGGACTACCGTTGCTAGTTAATTCTTGCGTCGTTTTCGCGGTCGCGTCTTTTTTTTGCTCGTCTTTAGTACCAGTGGGCGCCTCCATGTCGTCCGTGAGAACGGCTAACTGCCGCGACCTTTTTTCCAGATCACTTTGGTATTTAATGGGGTTTGCGAGAGCTTCGGCAAAATCGGATAACCCATCAGGAACGTAGTCTTTAACGACTATTAAAAGGAACAAACTGCATAACGGTAAAGGCTGACCTAGCTCAGTTCTTAAATTCACGTGACGATAACCGGGACACAGCCCGACGACAGGAAGAATCCGATGACCGATGAGTTTACCCGATTCCTCGTAAGCGGCTAAACGAATGGAAGCTAATTCGGGAAGCACAACTTTCTTGAACACGAAAGGTTCTTCATCGTACAAGGGATTGATCCCGTTATTGGGTATAATTTTTGTACGAAACTTCTTTCTAACTGTATCGGCGGGTAGACCGTACATGTCCACCTCTACGTAAGTTCCGACCCTTTTGTCAGTGAGAAACTGACCCGATATCACAGATATTTTGACGGTACCGGCTATAATACCGTCGACGGTCGACTCCGCGAACGGATCCAACCTTCTATCTTTGCGACGCATAAATTCCGGCTTTAGTAAATAACCCGTACGATAATTGTATTCGAATATTCCCAAGTTTAGTTGCATCGCTAAATCCAAGGTTTGAAAGTTTAACGCGACCAACTGGCAGCCCGCATTCCAAAAGACTTGCGGCATGAAGTTGGAGGAGTCGAATCGAGTACCCGCGGGATAGACTCTGCTCAGCTGGAATTTGTTGTAATTTACGAATTCGATCGGTTTCTCTTTTAAAAGCGTAGTGGCTTGCTTTTCGTCAAACGACGACATTTCGTAGCTGCGATTTTTTTCTGCAAACAAAGTAAATAACTGCTTCGAATTCGACGCACCACTTACTTTCTGCGTTTTCAAAACTGGAAAAATGAACCGGTTGTATATAGTTGACTAAGGCGGAAATTTCGGCGCCCGCCTCGGTCTCCTTTTGAGCAGCCGGTTTTTGATCCGGGTGTTCTGACGGTTGCCCTTGGACTGGTTCCACTTCTGCAGCATCGGCTTCTTCTTCACTTGACGAATCTTCATCTTCGGTACCCGTTGATTCTTTAGAGCCCTAAAAAGGAACGATAATGCTAAACCTAAACTAATTTTTTTTGTTGAGGATGCCTACTCTCTACCTTATACTCCAGGAGGCAGCGACATTTTTTGTGCACTCATTTCCACAAAGCTGATATTCTGCCATTTTATTGTTTTGATAGTACAAGTAAACAAAACGGTAGTCTACCGCGTCGGCGGTGTTGCCTAAGTTTGCAACAATGTTCTGAACATGTTAATAAATATGTACATGCCTCATTTCTATGAATGAAAAAATTATTCGATTGAACTTATTTCTACAAAGATGAAATTTTTTTTGGAGAAAGTTGATGTCATAGGAAACCAAAAAAAAATGGTCTGCCGATCGCGTGATGTTGCTAAGGTCTCGGTAGACACGCTGGAAGGTACGCTTTTCCGAGCGCAGCTGCTGCACTGCTCTGCTAAAAGTACCTCTAAATTATTATATACACCGGCATAAAATAAAAGTATTTCAAAAACGAACATAAATAATTAACATGAGAAAAAGGTTTTTGCAGATCGTTGCTCCCCATGATAATTTAGGTCTTAGCGGGTTTATAATGACACCAATCGAAAGAAGATTTTTTTTCTTTATCTAATGATATACGAATTAGTTCATTTTCAGTTGTATTTCTCATTATTAACGATCCTCGACATTGTTTATAATTTTGTATTGCTGTCTGTCTGTCTGTCTGTCCGTGTGCACGATAACTCATAACTGGATAATATCATTGACATTCGCTATTTTGTATCAAAATTTAATGCTACTGTTCATAGAAAATCGTGAACAAAAGTACCAGTTTCCATACGATTTTTTGACAAAAAAAGCCCGGTAATTAGATAACTATGCAAAAAATTTAATTGACTAACCTGTTGAAAAACGAGATGAGTTTTCAGTCTATGAATTTGAACGTTTTTCGTATTTAGGTTTTTGCTCAAAGTTTTCAACTTGTATACAGGGTGGTGCCTAGCGCGCCGCAGCATAGGAATTTCAATGGTAATTTCTTTATAGTCAATTACTAGCTCCCCTAATTATTTTAGAGCAAAAGTCTAAATACGTTTTTTTCAGAGAAAAAAATACTGCATCTGTTCATACTATTACTCATAATTTTCCGTTTTTCAAAACCGTAGAAATCGACAAAATAAAAAGGTTCATTTTACAATAAATCAGATATGCCTTGGAATTAGCTAAAAAAACAGATAACTTTTTATTATTTGCCTTTGACGTATATTAAATTTATACTTGTTTATAAATTAGTTAATCATAAAATTGTTTATCATGTATTTAACTGAAGAGAAAGAGGAAATGTTAAAGTTGTTTTATGCCCGCCAAGTAACGTCCTTTATTTACTGTGAAGTAACCCAATCGACCGATTCCAAGCAGTACCACAGTAGACAGAATTGTGCGCAAGTTTCAAAGAACAGGAACAGTGTTAAATCACTGCAAGTGCAATAACGTTCAAAATGTCCGTCAAAACCATCAGGAAAACGACAATACATTCAACGTTTTGGCTGCAGTAGCGGAAAATCCGAATATAAGTCTTCCTCAAATCAATTTCTTTTTCTTCGATTATGTACTCTGGTTCCGGAAAATGATACACAAATAGTATCTGATGCAGATGCAGCATACATTCTCTAAAAAACCCATAGACGCTTTTTCTTGCGTCAGTTAGTTGAAATAGAATTAAATACGATTATCGTTCGACGTCAAACAACGACAACTTAGATGCGATGCACTTGTAGTTTGTTAAAAGATTCCAAAGCATCACTGATTTATAAAAATGTAACTTTTTATTTTGTGGATTTCTACGGTTTTGAAAAACGGAAAATTATAAGTAATCGCATGAACAAATGCAGTATTTCTTTCTCTAAAAAAACGTATTTAGACTTTTGCTCTAAAATAATTAGGGGAGCTAGTAATTGGCTATAAAGAAATTACCATTGAAAACCCTATGCTGCGTCGCGCTAGGCACCGCATACCCATTTATTAAGAAAAACGCTCAAATTCATTCTTTCGATGTCGAAAAAGGGAATTTGATGCTTTTTTGCTGACCATTATGCATTTTGGTAAAATCATGACCTTATTTATCACCGTTTTCATTTGAAATATGGTAGGTTTATCTAAAATCTTTTCACTCCTCACGTGAAGCCGGTCGAGACCATTCGAAACCGGACTTTCTGAAAACGGTAATTGACAATGGTTTTGTATCTCAATACATGGTATTTTGAAGAACGTACATTAAGAGTTGGGGGATTTATTCAAAGTTTGTCTGGTGCTCTCGTGCGATTGGCCGTGATTTTTCGGAACGGAAGATTCGGCAATGGAAACAAACTTTAAAACAATGAGGTAGATTCAATTAAGCACTAGCTACGTTCGTTGATTTTCGAGTTTCCAATTTTTAGCGTGTCAAAATCGTTATATACGGTGCTGATTGCATTTAAAAAAAAAACGCTGGAAGTAGCTTGATATCCGTTGATGGATTTTCCATGTCCTCGTGCGTTTGTATCAAAAGGTTATCAAAATCGGTATTTTTGCACTGATCTTACTGGATGTCTGAGTGTCAAGGAGTGAAGTTTCTGAAATAAAATTTAATTACTTCACTTGTTAAAGCTTTCACTTGATATATTTCACTGGGTGGCAGCATTTTTTTAAATAAGTCGCGACGTTTCCGAAATATTTAAATATATAAGAAAAGAACCGATTTTGGCTATCGTTTATCCTGGTGTTTATCATAGATGGCAATGGTATTCGTTTGGGAAGAGATGTTGTAGTCGTACTATTCTAGATTTTACACATTCAACATCGTCACATGCACTAAAGTAGCAATTTAGCAAATGCTGCGCGCCAGCAAATGTGGGTCTCAAAAAGTGACCAAAAATCAAAACAACAATTTCTTTAACTTGCATGAATTAAAAATCTGCGTTTACAAAAGTTTGCTTCGTTTTTAGAGCCCCAAATTTATTCGAACAGTATGTCACTTCAGAACAGCAACACATCAATTCAAATAATCCCGCGTTTGATTAAAAACACAAACGAAACTTATCAAAATTTGCAGAGGATTAGTTAGTAGTAATTTTATATACTGCCAGTAATAAAATTTAAATGTCACAATAACTTTTTGGATTTCCTTAATTAAGTATTGGTTCTCGTACATTATCGTTAATCTGCTTTCAAATGCTAGAGCTAATCGCTAATCCCTTCTTATGTGCTCGAATAAATCACTTCATTCTATTAATTATAGTTTTTGAGTGACTCTTTTTCAAACTTTTGCCGGACGTAATGATATGTTTTTCAGGTGAACGAAGTACAAACGTTGCAAATCGTACCTATATCACTGACTAGCAGCACCCATGGACTTAATGCCTTTTTTTCTTCATGGTAACCACCTTTAAGTCTTGGTAATAACTAAAAAAAAACGTCATTTGAAGCAAATCACGTTAGTGTTTTTTTTTAAATATCAACTTTTAACGTTTAAGTATACACATTTGCATGTAACCAAAATACCTCGGCGCGGCGTCTGTATAAATACATTCCGAATTTGTTAAGGTATTTCTTAGTAATGTAACTCCAAACATTATTAATGAACTTAATCTAAATCTATAACTTTAGGGCTTTTGATATCAGATCACCAGTTCGGGTTTAGAGGGACCATACCACCACAGAACAAGTTCATCGTAAAATAAGCCAATCGTTAGAGGACAAAGATTACTATTCAGTCGTCTTTCTAGACGTTGTTCAAGGTTTTGGTAAGGCTTGCTGCACAAATAATTTAAAAAACTAACATGCGCTCAATAATTGTTCAGGTCAGATCGCTTTGACGGTTGCCACAAAAAATTGCCTGTCTGATATCACAAAAATTTTTACAAAACCTTAACCGGTTTAGCTGATCAAGGAACTCCTCGGAGTTCCATTCTTTAGCTATCTGTTACTTAGAAGGCGAAAGATGACGCATTCCCACTATTCATTTTCTATTACTTGTACCTACTAGTGCACCACGGAGCCAGTTGGCTCCTCTAAATTGGCCATCTGCACATAGCTCGCTCACACCTTCTTATGTGCCGGTACAGTAATTGATTATCCATTACCTACTTTGTAATGCTACTGTTATTCTTCCATTATAATTTTTCGAGACAGTAATTACATCACTTACCCAACTTTTACGAACATCTAGTAACTATGTGTACCTGAAACAAAAAAAAAAAACAAAATTACTTATCTTTGTCTTGTTCAACATGTGATTTAGCGTACATTTCAAATGTTTGACCGCCCTTGAATTATAATGTGTCCAATTTTGTTTGACACTGCAGTGTATCTCAGCTGTTTCTAAAGATAGAGACTTGCGACTTTCACGACCCTGTGCCACTTTTGTGTGAAACTTCTAATGCCCCAAACAGAATCAGTCTAACTACGTAGTACGTTTCTTTCTGGAATACAGGGTGAAAACGAAAAACTTGACTTTTCAGGACGTTGCCACATCTTGCTAGGTATCCATGTAAGATAGAAAATAGGTAAAAACTTCCTAACCACCGTTTCTGAGATTAGACTCAAAGTTGGTATTTTTTAAACTAAACACCCTGTATATCTGAACGTCAATAGTTTTCATTCTTTTTCCTGATTTACATTGATGTAGCACAACTTATATTATTTCATATTTTTCAGAATTTTGAAATGACATACTTCGTCAATTTTATTGATTGGCCTTACTTATCATGGATGCAATAAAAAAATACAAAATCTCCACGAATTATTTGAAAAGACTTAAAATGTAAAAAAAAATCGTTAAGCCGCTTGTGAGCAAGAGGCGAAGAGTGCACGTTCAAATTTGATTTTTCGATTTTAATAGCCCTTAATGGACATTTAATGCGTTAACGAGAATGCAAACACGAAATAATTTTTAATTTCTGATCGAATGACACCAATACCAAGTTTGTGAGTGGTGTAGTTCTGGAGCTTTTGTGACTCAGACAGACAGACAGACATATCAGGGTTGTGATATATCAATAATCAGGAAAAAGAATGCAAAAAATTGACCTTAAGATATACAGGGCGTTGTATATCAAAAATACCAACTTTGGGTCAAATCTCAGAA